GTCTATGAACAATGTTCTTCCTACCCCATGGGCCTTTGCTCCTAACGTGCTTACACAAATGTCTCCTTCTTCTCCTCTCTTCACTGCAACCTGTCCCACATAAAAGCGCTGAGGAGTCAGAGCTGTGGGTTCTAGTTCTGCGTGGGTCCTTAGGTGACAGTGGGAGCCGATGGAAGTCATTTCATACCTCTGGGTCCAAGTCTCCCATCTGTGAGGAGCTTAGACCAGATCCGGTTTGGCAAATAGGTTTCATTTTGCATGCCAGCTCTGCCAGGAGCCCCCTCTCGAGAAGGACTCCAGCAGCACCACTGAGGCTAGGCAAACGGTCTCAAGATTGATTAGTAGTGTCTGCCGTGGGCAGGGAATAGGAGCTTGTGAACCAGATGTTTTCCATTTTTGATCTAGAAGAGTTCTAAAAATCTCTTCTAGCAATAACCTTCTTTTTTTCTCATAGAGTAAGAACAGGTGAATTTCTACTTTTCTAGGGACCAAAGTAACTAGTGGAAAATTCAAAAATGATCTTATTTCAAAGAGCGAATATAGAATAAGAAATTATCTAAAATAATGATAATAATTAACATTTGATGAGCACTCTCTGTGTTCCAGGCACCACCCTAAGAGCTTTAAGACAATTATCTAATTTAGGCCTCACAACAGTCCTATAAGGTAAGGACTATAAATATCCCCATTATGCAAATGAAGAAACTGAAACATGGAAACGATGTTAAATAACTCGTTCAAGGTCTTAAAGACAATAAGGGTGCAACTAGAATTAAACTCTGGCAGTGGGATTCTGGAGTCCACCTCCTTGTGCCTGTCACTGCTCAGTGTTGCCTGCAGACTACCTGCATCAGGCATCCCCTGGAAGCTTGCTAGAAAATGCAGATTCTCAGGTCCCACCCAGACCTACTGAATTGGCATCTGCATTTCGACAAGCTTCCCGGGCATCTTACAGTCACAAGACATTTTGAGAAGCACTGAGCACACCATATCTCCTAATGGGATATTAGCTACCATTATTAAATGTTTACAATATAGATGCAATGTGCTAAGCATTATGCCTACATGATTGCATTTAATCCCTTAATCCTATAAGGAAAATCCTACAAAATCAATGGATAGATCAATGTCAGTATCCTTGTTGTGATATTATACTATAGTTTTACGAGATGTTACCGCTGGAGAAAAGGATACACAAAAGCTCTCTGTATTATTTCTTACAATTGCTTATGAATCTATAGTTATTTCAAAATAAAATATTTAATTTAAAAATCCTATGATGGAGGTTTTATTTTTCCTAATTTTGTTGTTAAGGAAACAGTTTTAAAGAGGCTAAGTAAGAAGCTCACTTGGTAATTCAGCTTAAGTATTATTGAGGCCCTACTATGTGCAAGGTACTGTCTTCTGCACTGGAAATACAGCAGTGAGCCAACACGTTTAAAGAGGCTAAGTAAGAAGCTCACTTGGTAATTCAGCTTAAGTATTATTGAGGCCCTACATGTGCAAGGTACTGTCTTCTGCACTGGAAATACAGCAGTGAACCAACACAGCCGTCACTGGGCTGTCGTCCCAGTGTGGGCTGTTAGGATTCAAACCTGGTCTGGCTGCCGGGTCCTCTACTGCTCAGATTTCAGAGGTGTGGTCACAGGATGGGAAGGTGGTAAATAACAGAGCTACCTACGGTTAAAACATTTGCAAAATTTCTAGACAGTTGTACATGAAATTGTCTAACAGTATGCACTCAGCGAGCACTCTGTGAAAATCAATTCCCTTCCTTCCTTTCTCGCAACCGTCTCAGAGCCCAGGAGGAACCTCACCTCCATCATGACCTAACATTGATTCTTCCCTTCATCCAACTGGATGCAGTCCAATGATGGAGCCATTTTGAGTGGCAGTAACCTGAGCTTCAAGTTGTGCTTTAGAGCGATGCTCCAAGGTTCAGGGATGTACCATTCAAAACCTGTCAGGGAGTCAGTGACGAACACTTTTCTGAATGTCAGTTCTTTTCATACCATAGTTTTGAATGAGTCTCCTTAAGCTAGACCAGATTCATGGCCAGAATCATTGCTCAGACCTCAGATGTGTGAGTGCCATTTAACATTGATCCAAAGATTGGATTTGTCCTCACGCAAGGAGTTTTCCTTCAAATACTATAAGAACAATTCAGCTTAGCAATATATTCTTGCTAACTTCCCTAGAGACAAACTTCACCAGGCTGGGGAGGAGATAATAAGATCCATTTTCCACTGAAAAAAATGTTGCAGATGCTAGATTCAAGGCCAGTTGGAGTTTGGCCAGTTAACTTGCTGCCTCTCAGACAGAGAATGGTTTGAACTGGGGAACTTACCAAAAACAAGCATGCATTTTTCTTCTGAGTGTGAAATACAGCAACACCTCAGAGAGACATTCTTCAAACTGGGATTGCCCTGTCTCTCTTGACTCCAATTCTTTCTTTTGCATTCAGCTCTTACAAACATGTGCTACATACAGGCCATGAGAAAGT